ATGCATTTACCAGTGCAGACTACAGTAACAGTAATAATGTGCCACATCAACATTAGGGTGATAGAAGTCCCTGTACAGGAATTAATAAAAGTTCGAATCCTTCCATAGGAGCCATAAAAGTAAAGATACTTTTATGATAAAAGTCAGAAAGTTAAATTCCTTAGAGAGAAATTTTGCCCAATGCAGACTAAAAATCCACATTCTGTCTAAATAACTTTTTTTTTTTTTTTGAAAAGCATCTGTCTAAATAACTTTAATAAGAAAAGAAAAAAGAAATAAATCTAAATCATGTATAAATTCAAATTCAATTTCTTTTTCACACAACCGTAATTTTTCTGTGGAAGGAAGAAGCTTCCAAAAGCCAAGTTTTAGACCAAACCCAAACTTAAGATGAGTCATTGTCTGAGGGAAAGTGAAGTTAAATTAAGTCTGAGCTGCAAATTAAGATATGTTCGAGGAAGCTGAGGTTTTGAGGTTGAGCTGTTACAACTACCCAATTCCAATTCCAACTACACGGATGTAAAAAAAATGATATATGTTCAATCAGTCAATCTTTTCCCTAAATGGAAACTTCCTTTCTCCCCAACCCCAACGATTTGTCTGACACGTGTACATAAACCCAAAAGTTCCATACTTCTACCCTTCACCTGCCTTCCACATTCTCCGGCTTCTGCCCATTGTTTTTCCTTAGTTAATCCTTTAATTAAGGAAATTAAGGCAAATAAATATATACTGTAGGTAGGTTCATGTGTATATATAATATATATTACAAATATTCTGCAAATTTTTACTGTATGTTTTTAATTCTCTCTCTTAATTTCTACCTAGGGCTAGGTGTGTGTGCTTATAATTTTCAAATTTAGTTAATAACATCACAAACATATATTTTGTGGGGAAATTTAAATTTTTTTTTTCATTAAAAACAAAAATATTTTTATAAAACTAATCAACTTGGTGGAACAGCAATATTAGCATTAAAAGAAAGCATAAATTAAAGTAAAGATTCTTTTATTAGTTAAATTCAAGTGGAGAGAGTATAAATATAAGATGAGTCATCAAATATGTCTTGTTATCATTGGTCATAAACTTATACGATAGACAGTATAAATATAAAATAATATTTAAACTTGAGAGATAACTAGAAAACCTTGACTTTAGAATCAAGATTGGACCATTTTAATAGCTAATTAGTAAACTAACTTTTCTTAAAGATGAAAACAAAAGATTAAGGTTAGAGATTATTTCTGAATAAAAATGAATAAACTGACCTTTAGTGTGAAGTATGCCTTGTACAGTACAAAACCACTTAGCCGGCTTAGGACTCAAAACCACCAAAATTGTTTCATTAATTTCCTCAATGTGCAGTTCTATTTTCCCCTAAAACAGCTATCATTGTCCGCTTATATAAAACCCTGGATGAGCATCAGCTGAAAAAGGGTCTCTTCGGCTCATTCCCTGTGAGCTTCTTTTCCAAATCATCTTCATCTCAGTTCTAAGCTTTTCGTTGAGATTATTGCCTTGGATCTTACTTATTTCACCTCCGGTTTTTTCAGAAACCCTAGAAGAAGAAGTAAGCAGAGATCAATATATATATATATATATATATATAATGGGGAGAGGGAAGATTGCGATTCGGAGGATCGATAACTCAACGAGCAGGCAGGTGACCTTTTCGAAGCGAAGAAAGGGACTGATTAAGAAGGCCAAAGAGCTGGCAATTCTCTGTGATGCAGAAGTTGGTCTTGCCATCTTTTCCAGCACCGGAAAGCTCTATGAATTTGCAAACACCAGGTTTGATCTCAAATAATTCTTTCTTTTTTTGTTTGCGTTGGCTTTTTCTTTCTTATTGGAATTTTGCATGCGAAAATAGAAAAATCTCATCCTTTTTTAAGCTTATATTTAATTTTCTGTCTATAAATATGGCATTGAAGCATATGCAAAACTATTTTCTTGTGAGTGTTTGTATATTTGTCACCTATATATATGTAAAGTCTTTGTTTAGAGAGATTTATATCAATTAATATTATAAAACAAACCAACTGCTGCAAATATATTGCATGCAACATATATATAGAGATTAGAATTGAAAGGGTACAAATGATCGAGGATATGCACAAATTCATGATCTAGTACTATATATTAATTTCTTGTCAATTTTGGTGAACCATAATATGTATTGAAAGCCAAAGTCTTAGATATTGGTGTGATAATTTTACAAAAAAATAAGAAATAAAAAAAGATACTATTATGTCCCTTGCGCATTTACAATCAACACCTACTTTTGTTAGAATTAGCAGCTGCAATTAATTAAGGTCAAGAAAACATGGAATCTTGTATATAGAATGTATTGATATTCACAATCAAAATATCCTAGAAATAAAGGGATAAGCATTGCCTCAGTTGTTTTAGACTTTAGGAGTTAGAATCTAGTGAATAATGTGTTAATTTGGTTGTTGGAAATTGAAATACTCAAATAGGGAGTACTTACATATCTTGGAGTCAGTCATTTTTCTATTTTCAAAGAGGATATGTATTGAATTGGTTACACACAAGAGATCGATCATAAAGAAATGCTTTTGTATCAAAAGAATATCTCTAACATAATATTTCAAATACACATCAAAAGTTATCACAAGACAATAGAAAAATGACAATACATGTATTGAAAAGCAACACCTAATTATACTAAAGACATCTCATGTTAATATGTTATGCTAATATGCTATTTTGAGTTATGATGATACCTTAACAAGAGATGCTATCTTTAATATAAGAAGTGTCATTGACAATAAAATAATAATAATAATAATGTAGAGGTCTCATTTTTTTATTGGCTTGAATACCACATCAAATATCTCTATAGTATAACAGAATGTTTGGAGATTATAGAGGAAGTAGATGTATGTATATAAGAAGCTTTCATTTGATCAAACTAAAATAGCTATATTGGTCCCATAAAAAAAGTACCTATATTGATACCACCTTGAATGAAATTAATGATAATTATGAGTTATAAGAAGGGTATACCCTTTCCCTTGTTGAGGTTATTGCCATCATTAAATTTGTTAAGGTTATTAATTTAATTGTAACTTAATAAGTTTATAATTTTTTTAAATAATTAGTTATGATCTTTGAAAATATTTGTTTGTAAACTGACATCAACCTATTAAATAATAAATATTAACTGTTTAATTAATTACTAGTTGTTTTCAATAATTAACTTAAAATAAAATTTTAACAATTCTTAAAAACCTTAACAAATTTAATAATAACCATAATCATAGCCCTTTTGCCTTAAGAGGAGCAAAACTGTGAGGCACAAATGGGGTTAGTTGTTGCCCTACTTTATGTGAAATGATTAAAAATGGCTAAATCCAAAAATAATTGTCCGTGTTTTATCAATTTGGCCACCCAAGAAAGTTGGACAAACCCGAAAACCAATTTTGGTGTTGGGGATATGTGGAAAAAAAATTTTTTAATTAAATTAGTGAATTCCAATTTAGTTGACTATAAACATAAGCAAATTCCCATGTTTTTTGGTAGTCCCATACACGAGTTCATTTCTCTGCTCTAGTATCCATTAGCTCTCATTAATTTATGATAATTGATAAGCAGTATAACATTGAAGATCCTTTGGGAAAAGTGTTTTAATATACATCATACACATTGATTTTCAGATTAATTTAGTAGACTTAACTAATTTATTGATTATATAAATTTAATATCATTAAATATATATAAGTAAATATAGTTTCCTCGATCAAATAGCTATAAATAGTAGATTAATATGAAAATCAATATACATAAATTAGATGAATAAAATTTTTTATACAACAATTAGTTTTTTAAAATATTAATTACAAAATAAATTTTTAAGTAAATTCTTTGAAAATAATTTAAGAAAACAACCTGTATTACATTAAACCCTGCTTCTTTTAACCTTTCTTTTAGTGGAGAAATAATTTTGGAAAAGTACACTATTCCAAATTGTTTCACTTCTCATATGTACATTAATGAATTACCTTAGTTATATTCTTTAGAAAGCCATGATTCTTCAAATGAGAGGTCAGTGATGCAGAATTTAGGTAGGCAAAGAGTGATATTATATCATGTTAATAGCTAGAGGAAATCTAGCTTTATGTTAAAACGCAAGTTTTCGTTTTCCTCTTTACTCTGGTATTATCAAAGATACATATCATAACACCCTTGAAAATGAGGGGTGATAATCACCTACAATAACGTTAAGGATATGCAATATTAATTCTAAAATAAAAGTTTTGTTTAATTTAATTGTTAAAAATATTCTCTTCATTTATTTTTAATATTTTTAATTTGATTTTTTTACTTTTCAAACATAAATTTTAAATAAAAATTTAATATATTATATAAATAATAATTAAAAATTTTTTGATTAAATAAAAATACTCAATAAAAACTTCATATAAGTTGTTAAATTTTCCAACTAAAATTTACAAGTAAACATTTAAAAAATCAAATTAAATCTACTAAAAATGAACCAAAGAAATAACTAATAACTAATAAAATAATTATTATTTATCACTTAATAAATTAAAATCAACTTATAAACTAATATTTTTATATATTATAACTGACTATTTAAAAAAATTCTACAGCCAAGACAAACAAAATCTGAGTGTTTGTTGTTGGTGGCTGTAACCCCACGGTCCCCACCCACGTTATATTTTCCAATAGTGGAAAAGAGGAAAAGAGTAGCTTAATTATTTTTTGCATACAAATGACAGTAGCTTCCTCCCTTTTAATCCCCAATTCCTAGAAGAAATATTTACCATGAAATCCTTTACACATGACGTTTTAGTTCAATTATTTGTGCAATCTTGAAATTATAACTCGAAGACCTACAAGACTCTGTATTTCCTTGATCATTTTTTCTTTGCAGAGCTCAAAGACAGGACATTATGTTTGACATGATTCAAGATACATTGCTTGAATGTATAAATTTCCCCAACAACAAAATATTTATTGCATAAAAGATTTGAGTTTCTACAGAGTCGAAATAATTTTACTTCCTCCTTGAAAAAAATGAAGAAAATAGGACATAAACATTACAACTATATTAGGATATGCAATGAATATTCTCTAATAATCCTATTTACTAACAGCTTGAAATCAGTCATCGAACGATACAACGCCTTGAAGGAGGAACAAGAGCAGCTGATGAATCCTGCATCAGAAGTCAAGGTAGAGTTCTGAAGTACTCTTCATTTTCTCTGCTATCTCATGCGTATCTGTCATCAGTTTGTGACTCAAAGTTCTGGGTTTCCTTCTCTTTACTACCACATTTGAGAACCAGCATGCTTTAAAATTTAAATATCACATACACCAAGGAAGACAATAGAAGATTCAAAATAATAGGTCTTTTCTTAATCTCCAAGCATTTTTAGAGAACCCTTTTCAAACAACTAAATAGTAGCATGCATTCTTTATATAGCAAGTTAGCAGGGGTTTGACATTAGCAAGCAAGAAACCATAAACCACATACTTAACCCGCTGATTCTCAGTAGTGGAAGATTCCAATAAATGCAGCACCCGGTCTTCCATAAGCTAGTACATGGTTAAAAAGATCAATGAATTTTACAATATGAAGCCAAAATGTAAGATGTCATACAAATTTACATATGATTTCCCTCTGTTTTATTATGTTTGCTTCCGCATTTCTCACTTCATTTGCACAAAAATTAAATAACATGCCATAGTTCAACATAAAATCAAATTGAGCAGTGCATGAGTTAAGTTATGATTTATGACCATAGAAAGAGACCTAATGCATATTTTGCAGCGTGTACCTAATGCACTTCATCATCATCATCATCAATTCATTTGAAAAGGACACCACCAACCGGAAAAGAACACCTAGCATGTGATGGTTTTAATAATACCTTTGAAACTCTACTCAGAAACCTGATTATATAGCAGCACCTAACGTTTGAAATGAGAAATGATCCCAGTAGCACATAAGCAGTTTTCACAGGCATTTCATCATTATCTCAATTGAAAGGACACCACCAACCAGAAACGAACACCTAGCATGTAACAGTTTTAGTAATACCTTTGAATCTATACTTAGAAACCTGATTATATAGCAGCACCCAACGTCTGAAATGAAAAATGATCTCCATTAGCACATAAGCAGTTCTCACAGGCTATAAAACACCAAAAGGCTGTGTACCTTGCCACACATAGCATATGAGATGGAACATTCTTATATCTTAATATTGTTGATGGTCAAGCTGGGAGTATATGACTGAGTAGAACAACAAAGATTACGACAAGAACAGGAGCTGTGATATTGCTTCCATAATCCCAAAATTCGGTAAGCCATACTCAAGTAAAGGGCATGGTCCATGCCATAATTGTCAGTTGTTTTAGCCAAAGTACAATTCCCTTCTTGCCTTCTTATTTCTTGTCATTTTTCTCGTACTCTGCCACAAATGTTTTCAATTAGTATACATGCAACAACATCCTTTGAACATCCAAACAATGCATGGCAAACTACACATCTGAAACTACAGTATAAACTATAAACAAACATAAAGCCCAATGACAGGGCATAGCATGCACTACCAAGCGCCAAATCAATGCCATTGAAAAGAAAAGAAAAAATACCACTGAAAGAGTAGTACAAACACTCCAGATAGACTACAGCCATTATCAACAGAAATATATAGCAGCAGTTATATAACAATAAAAAGGCAGAGAAAGCATTATGGTATCTCCTATAAGAATGACCTACAAGAACACTACATTTAAATGCAAGAGCACCTACAGCATGAAAGCATAACTATTTTTTGGAGTACTACTATTGTGACCAGTGAAACTTAAATCACAACACAAGATGTTCAGTTGGCATAAAGCTTTTATGATAGCTTCATATCTTATGTTTTGTTATTTTGTGCTATATATATAACGTTGATTCTACTAAACATTGACTCTTATCAATAAAGTTTGCAACTTTTACAGAACCACAACAAGAACCAAACTTGAGTCACAAACTGATGAGATCAAAATCAGCTTACCAGCAATTAGCAACAGGTTGTAAATACAAAGAACTAATTACCAGAAAAATAAAAAATAAAAACAGAACTGGAAAAAATATCAAACAAGTTACATCATGATTCAGGCCAACAAAATTTAAAATTATCATAACCCTACACAGCTAAGAGAAAAAAGCTTTAGCAGATTGCCTTTTATATCAAGCAATTTAAATTTGTTTCTGATATGTCTGGAGCTTCTCTAAAAGTAAAAAATATTTGTCATTATATTTTTATGCAGAACTACTAAAATGTACTTCTTTTACCTCTATGTCAAAATCAAGTGAAGAAGCTTAAAAGACATCCATGGTTTCATATAAACTTAACCTTTTTTGTTTTTCCTACTGGTTAGTTTTGGCAAAGGGAGGCTGCAATCTTGAGGCAACAGCTACAGCACTTGCAGGAAAACCACCGGTATGTCTTCCTTCCTGAACTAACTCTGTAATATGCCAAGAGATTTGATTGTGCTATGACAATTTCATATGTTCTATAAGATGGTATGCAGAACTATCAGTTACATAGATACAAGAAAATACTGCATTCAGGGAAAGATAGAAGTTGATATTACTAATTAATTGACATTCCTAAATGGTACAATAGATGCATAAGTAAAAAATTTACTGTGCAGAATTGCCAAGGGCAAAAAAAGAAAAAAACATAAAGATATTGCTAAAGCCAAGACATTAGTTGGCGTTCTTAAGAGGTTAAAAGAAAATGCTTGTAATTAGTACTTCATTGCACATGAAATACAAGGCCAAAAGAAGGAAATGAGACACAGCAGGTTCGCCAACTTGCCATTGGCATGGTCCAAATTTTTTTACATAAGATATTCATATTCGGTTAAAGTTGGTTAAATTGAGTGCAATTATTATATATGTTCACAATACTGAGTTCCAGCTCTTCCCTTCTATTTACTCAAGCATTAGAAATATGATTAAGATTCTATGTTTAGAGTATCACAGAAATAAGCACTACAAAAATTGTAAGCACCCGGCTAGGCAAAAACTAGTTGTTTGATGTTTTGCCTCTACCAAATCGTTTCCTAAAAGGTGCAACTTACGAATCAAGACTTGACAAAACTTAGCGTATGATTTACACCTAATATAATCAGTCCTACACTTTTAACTATGGAAAAAGTTCATTAATCTATAAAATCCAAAGAATTGGTACATATCTAGTATAAGGATCTTAATGAAAGCTTGTGCATGCCCCATGTAGTATGTACAATGAGATAAAATTCTAAGAACCAATCACATTTTGGCTCTAATGTATGTCTCTGGGCATTTCATGAACAAAACCCAACTGCTACTCAGATAATAAGAGATTAGAAGAGACCTTATCATGCCATGGACAAATTACGAACAAAGAAAAAGCTGAAGACAACAACCTCGAAGATGCATATAAGCTAATGTAAGCCATGTAGCAAGCATCATCTATGGGAATTAGGAAAAGAAGCTCCTCAACAAGGATGGTAACCAAGATCCATCCAAGTGATCTGTCTACCCTATTTGCTTTCTAACACACCCATGAAATAGCTATTCAGGTAACAGAATCCAAACCCAAAAAGGCAGTGGGGCCGATTCCAACGTCTCATATGGATGGTCTTCAGATATCCCTGTAGAAGCTATTACACCCACAAAGCACTAATTGCCTGGGCTATTTCCCATGGCCATTTTTGTTGAACCCTGCAAGGCAAAGATGAACATTACCAAGCTCCCAACTTTCACTCAATTGAGCACTCCTCCCTATTAGGTACCCCCAACAAACACTTCAGCTATTAGTAAGGAAGCTCTTCCCATTGTCAGTACCTTTAATGCATGATGTAGCCATATAGCTACAAGCATAACACTTTGTAATCCAATTCTGACCAAGACTTCAATCCTAGATGTCATAGAGAGTCCTGTTTCCATTCTACTGATCCAAAATTTGAAAAACTTGGGCCTACATAATCACAGGGAAAATCTAATTTTGAACAGGAAATGAGAGGTGACAGCAGAAATACTCTCCATACCCTTCTTTCTAACTTGGAACATATCATTTAAATACCTGGATTCAAAAAGGCTGGCGCATAAAATCAAATAATCCGTGAAAGTAATAAGACTGTAAGAGTTATTTAGGGTCCACATTTCACAACCACTACTCATCGCACAAAATGCACTACATTAAGCATCTCATGATACAGTCATGATACCACACAAAAAACCATCTTCAGTAACTAAGAAGGATATAGGACTGAAAACATACAATCTGATGAGGCAGAAAATTGATGGGAGAGCAGCTGTATGGTTTGAGTGTCAAAGACCTCCAAAACCTGGAGAATCAACTGGAGATGAGTTTGCGAGGTGTTCGTCTGAAAAAGGTCAGATATCCATGGCATTCATGCAATGTTTGTCATATAAACAGTTAATTGAAGCATGACCTCTTAACATGCTTATCTTTTCATCTTCTGCAGGAACAGATATTGAACAATGAAATAGAAGAACTAAACCAAAGGGTAAATTCCTTTTAAATGTCACAATTATAACTTCACAATATCTTCAGTTCTAATATCTATTTGGCACTTGCTTCTTTACAGGGGAACCTCATCCATCAGGAAAATGTGGAACTACACAAGAAGGTTAATCACATCCGTCAAGAAAACATGGAATTATACAAGAAGGTATTCCACACACTGACACTAACTTAAGACATCGCCAACCAAATTACTTTCAAATTACATCGTAAGATGACTTAATCAACTATAAATTTGACTGAGCTTGAAAATGATGGTTCGTGTCCCAGGTTTATAGCACAAGGGATGTAAGTACCTCAAATGCAGACGCCTTCACTCAATATGGTTTTGACTCTGGAGATAGCTCGCATGTCCCTATCAATCTCCAATTAAGCCAACCTGAGCAGCAAACTTACGAGACACCAGATAGAGCTGAGGATTAAAGGTAGACATTTTTCTGGAGCAGATCCTTAAATTCTTTTCTTGTCCATATTAATCCAGGTATATTCCATGAAACTGCAGAGTGACATTGAAGAACTTTGTGAGAAACATAGACACTTGTCTACTCACTTTTTCCTGGACCAAAGGACCTTGAGACTACAAGAGAATGATTGTTGAAGACAGATGAGTTATATAAATTGTAATCAGCACAATGACTATTCTGGCCTGGTTTGCCACATCACTATAAAATTTTTATAGCTTATCAGGGAAACCAAGAATCAGAATGTATAGAGCACCTTAGGAACAATGCTAAAATAAAACCTATTATGCAAAAAGAAAAAAACTATTTCATACAGCAACAGGTCAATTATTTAAGATGCTATTTTATACTTCACATGTTATATGCTCTGCTGCACACTAAGTTAGAAAAACTAGGCTTCAATTTTCATGAAAAGGACATTAAAGATGGAGATTCAAACAGTTATATAATCCCTGAAAAAATTTCCATTCTATTTTTTGTTACTCCAATTCCCTACTCAACTCGTATGTGCCAAGTCCTCGGTAAAGTGGCTTTTCCTTTTTCTTTTTCCTGTAATAATCAGATGCACAACTAAACTACTTGCTGATACAGTCTCCAGATGTTGTTGCATATTAATGTAACATTGACCACTGTTCTACTGATCTTATGGACCAAAAGTCCACTGAGAACCATCCCCTTTACCCCTCAACTCCAATAAAAAAAATTAAAAAACAAAAGAGAACAATCAGTAAAGGAAGGGACTTTCTAGCTTTACATGGAGAGCTAGCCTGCCATACAATGAGAAATCACAAAATATCTAATACTGGTTATGAACTAGTTATGATGATCTTAACCCATTTATCCCTGTGCTGGTATGAAAATTGACATCATTTTTTCTAAGCCAAACAAAGTCTAAATGATATCATTATAATATTATATGGTACTGACCAACTGATTCCTAAACAAGCAAATCTAACCTCCACAAAGAAAGAAGGATTAGGTTAGGAAAGTTAAAACATAGTTAGACTAGGCTAACTAGGACTTTACGCATCAAGTTCATCCCAGGAAAGTTCCAATTGGACTGACCTTCTCAAGTATCAATACCCGTCTCAGCAAACTTCACTTTCTCAACCATAAAGATCAGATTAGAATCAGACAGTAAACCCACAGCTAGAGGAGAAGGAGGAAGATAGAACTGTTGGGAGGCAGGACGCCCAACATTTCAAGTCATGCAAGAAGAATAAAACTCAGGGTTATTTGGAGTACACACCTTCATTAAGGCAACATGTTCCAAAGCCCTAACATTTGGAAACTGTGGTTAGCAAGTAGGAGAATGTAAAAAAAATAAGTTAAAATGATATGCATGGTGTTGAGTCTGTCACTTATTCCATTCATAACTTTCTATCTTCTCCCTTATATTTTAACTCTATTACTAAAGATGACAGAAAATAATGGCTCTTTATTTGGAGTTTTGACAACCTAGTTGACAATATCAGAAGTTTTAATTCTGAACCTTATCACACTATGATGATAATCACTTCACTCATTCATATAAAGTAACTTACTTCCTAGTACTTGTAGATCTGGAGGCTTTCATCAGCCACCAATCTGAGTAAGAAACTTTAAAAAACAGACAGTAATTTTGAGGCACAATTATAAGTGATGCAAGAAGAATAACTTCAGTTATTGGACACCAACAATATCCCTCTATAGGGTAAAAAATTTCATTCATCTGGCAGGCAAGGCTGGCAACTAAAAAACTGTAAAAATTAAAATGAAAATTTATATTCATGATAATGTAGAAATTAAATGGAAATCTATATGCATGATATGCATTTAGAAAACACCACCTAATGATAGACCATTAAAGTTAAGTCTAGATTGAGTATAATCTAGGCTAACCTCAAAACAACTTAAGATAACCACATAGATATATATACATATCAGTATGGATCCAAGTCTTACATGCTACACTTACACAAAATCTTAACCATTCATCTCTCCACTTTCAATGGTTGAGATTTATTCACTTTTTATAATATTTATTAAAAACAATTATCTTTTCATCTAAAAAGTAGTGATAAATCTCCACCATTGAATGTGGAGAGATGGATGGTCAAAATTTTATGTGTGGTGTGTAAGACTTGTGTAAAAGTGGATCTCTACTCATATATAGAGAGAGAGATATTGATATTTATCAATCAAGCCTCTAAAAGATTAGGAGGAAAAACACCTCAAAACTATGTTGTTTCAATAAAGCATCACAAAAAAGACCAAAACACTTTCATTTTTCCTTTAAAAATAGGTTATTTTAGTCTTTTTCCATGAAAGCTTATTAAAACTACATAGTTTTGGGACCACTTTTCTCATATATATATATATATATATATATATAGCCACACACAGACACTGCTAAGGTTGCAGGAAAGTGTAAACTTACCATACATAGCAGCATAGAATATATCCTGAGGAGTCAGTCTGTAGCTTAAATAAAAACATCTACTCAGTCTGTAGTCTACTTTAATCCTCAATTAGCTCTGAAAGAAACCTCTTATACACAAAACTCGTAGCAAACTGTTAATCAACCCTTCAATCCAAGTACTGCAGTGGTACAACCGAGCACAATGGGGATGTGGTACAAAATAAATCCAGCTCTCCTTAATTATTGGTTTGGTCCACTCTCTCTTGTCCTAGCATTCTTAAAAGAATTCAAAAGAGGAACACAGATGAGTCAGTGTTCATTTCTGTCCATCAAGTGCCAGTAGAAAGCAAGCTTTTATAGCCTTAACTACTAACCATAAGAAATCTAAACAAAATTTATTGCATTTTACATCCTAAGTCATACATACATGTTATATAACGAGAAAAATACTTTAATTACTGGAATCATGTCCATTCAACTACTTGACCACCGACAAGAAGATGCACCAAGAGATTTACATGTTGAAGGAAGATAGTATGTATACCCATAGTTAGCAATCAATGCAAAACTGAATAAGCTAAATAACCCAACATTTAATGCTTTGCTTGCCTTTAGAAAAAGGAGAACTGATTTTTTTAATTGTAGATACCAAAAAATGACTCTATTTTCATTATTCACCAATCTACCATAGAATTATGGCTGGTGCTTACAACTTGCATGTCAAATCAAATCAACAATGTGTTGTATATGAGGGGATTAAAAGAAGTTGAACAAGAAAATTAGAACATTAGAATAAAAACAATAAATAAGAAATTATACAAAACAATAAACAAGAGGATCAAAACCCGTTAGCCAAGGCACTTCCAAGAAGCTATCTTAAGGATGATACTTTCCCACAATATGGGACAATCAACTTCCTGAAAACATTATCTTCAAAATACAATGCCCAACGCAAAAGAGTTTAAAATGCACTCCCAAAAACTCCTTTGACATAAACCCAAACCCAAGATTTCAAATTCTTTGAAAGGAAGAAGAAGACAATCACAAATTCAGTCCATATCAATCTCATCTTAACTCTACACTTTAGGCAAGGTTGCTTGCTATATCTATAGGCAAGCACCCATAATTGCCAAAGTATGTAATGTCTACAGTATTGATATTTGATCCCAGATTTAAATCTAAACTTTATTGTTACAAAACAACTTTTGCAAATACTTCTAGCATTAAGACCAAATCAAAATGAGCATTATTCTTGGTTCGTAACCAAAACACTCTTAAAAAGTTATGAATTCCATTTGTAACTAATTCAATTACTCGCTTTCAAGAATATTTCTTCCATAACTCTATTATTATTAGTAGATAATACTCATATTTACAACAAAATGCCCTGTTTTCAAACGGTTACACAATCATCCAATTACCATTCTGTGTGGTTCAGGAAAGCCTCCTATGGAACCAGAAAATGTCTCATCTAACTAATCAACACATCATCTTTAATGAAACAAATCATCTCTCTATATTTATAAATCAATGATTAAAATTTCAATACAAGAGTTGGAGGTGAACTTTAGGCCTAATAATGAGTTGGTAAACTTATAAAATCTAAAACTAAATTCCAGCTTTGCCTATGGTCAAGGGAAAGCCTATCATTATTTGCAAAACACTTTTCATGCATTAACAACTTAGTTCGTGTTAGGTTAACTGAATCACTAGAGCACGATTATGCATGAAAATAAAATAAAATAGAATAATTATAGAATAAGGGTGTGATTGAGATTGTTGTATAGTAGCTATTAACGTGTTGTGTCATGCCAGAAGCTACGTTAATGTTTAATAATTACTTTTCAAAAGGATTATATCTGGACAATTACTAAAATGCACAAATTATTACTACCTCAATTCAACTTTAGTTTGTCCTAGTTTGACTTTTTTGCTCTTTGGACATTAATTGCATATAAAAATTTAACATATTTTATAAATAACAATAAAATAAAACTTTTAATTAAGTAAAGAACAACATATAAGAAAAAAAAATTCAATAGTCATTCATATGCTATGTTAAATTTTCATGTGAAATTAATATCCAAAAAGTCGAACTAGGACCACTAAAGTTGAATCAGGGTAGTAATTAAAACCAATTTAGTATTGAAAGCAATCCTAAGTGTAGTACATTTCAATTTAGCTTTGTTTCATAAACTATTCTTCATACTCCTCACATATTAGTTACTACAGCCTTATTCCTATTGAAATTATCCTAATTCCTTAGGTTAGTTTTACTGGTTCCTGTTGAATTATTCTTGAGCAACTTGTTAGTTTGTTGCATTATGTATCATGGTTTGTTACATTGCATGTCAGGCTTGTTCCTAATCTACAGGCAATAGGTTCCTATTTTAAGCTTAAATCAGTTTGTATCTTGCCTATATAAAGGCTTGTGTTTGATGAATAAAGTACAGCATTTTTTGATTCTCAACTTCAGAAATACAAACCTCATTTCTCCTCTCAATTTTTTTTTTTTTTGTCCTTATACACTTACTCCTTGATTTATTTGCTCTAGATATCACAACAAATCCGATATTTAAAAATTTTAATTAGAAAAATGATCAGTATATATTCAGTTCAACACATTTTTTGACCCTCATCTTGGTTTAGCTATTAAAATATAATATAAATATAGTCAATTCAACAATTTTTGCACCTTATATGGCTGTATCTTGGCTGTATCTTTAAATTTGTCTGCCTTTAATTTTAGACTAAAAAAATAGTGATTTTTTAAAAAATATGTAGTGTAGTGTGTTGAACGTGTGCACTAATTTGTGTCCTTTTTAAGAAACATATCTAATTTATCATATGCTCCAACATCCTCCCTTATCCCAATGTTATTATCTTACTTTATTCAATGAAACAAAAGGTCCAAGCATAACCTTATGAGTAGCAGAAACCAAAGGTGGACATCTGGAACAGATCTCTATTCAACTCTCCTTAGTAATGAATCGATTTCCATTTTCCAAGTTCCCTCTAACAATCTAGTAAACTACAACACACGTAACAAGAATCAAACACATATCACGTTCGAAAGCAAGTAGCAAAACCCTAATTCAATCCAACTAGAATCTAAAATAATCCATGGGAGACGAAAAACCCTTACCTTCAGAGAAACAAAATGCATGCAGATGCAGGCAATCGTGGGGAGAAGATCAAAGATAAACAATGAGAGCTAGGGCAAAGTTGCAGAGAAATTATTAGGCTTTTTCGAGTTCGATGGAGAAGAAAGGGAGGCACCTGATTCTCACCTGCGGCGGAACGCGCCAAACCGGGAGAATAATGCTGGAGGTGGGGGGGGGGGGGGGGGGGGGGGGGGGGGGTTGGGATTAATAGTGAGTAGTGAAAATATCTGGAGTACGATTTTGAGTGTACGAGGTGGTCCCGCCTAGATGCCTTGCTCTCTAAGCTCCACGTGTTCGAGTGTGCGGTGTTTTTATTCGTTAGCTGTTGTCACGTGCTGCTTCATCTGCGTGTCAAACACGCCCCGTTCAGCGTATTGTGAGTTGGGCCGGGACAAGAGGGCCCAGACCAGTTTTATAAAATAGGCTTCAATTAACACTAAATTGAACCCAAATAAACATGGGCCAGACTTGTAGGCCTTTATGAAATGAAAGGTGGGGGACTGCGGGAGAATGTTTGACGATGACAAAGGTCGTTAGGTGTTAAAGAAAAATATGAGGGCGCAAACTTTCACTAAATTTAAAATGGAGGATTCAAATTTTGATTATTGTGAAATAACAATCTTTGCATAGTTGGAAAATTGCCATGTCGCGCCATGTAAACTGCAATCAAGGAATTATCTCATATCACATAATTATTAAGTTGTAAATTGGAAGAGAATTTGATTGAAAGAATAACAATTTTTGTAATATCACATATAAATTCTCTATCTAAATCATCTATATTTGTATTCAATGCAAAAAATTATGTCCTTATTTTCAATTTATGTGAAGAAGGCATCCTTATTTCAAAACAATTAAAGTTCATATCCTCAATTCCCAATTTTAGTGAAAGTTAATTTCCTAATTTTGGGATTTTGCCCTCTATTTGTGTTCGTTTTTTAAGTAAAGAAGGTGGTTTTGTGTTTGGTTGGATTTCTTTTTATCATTTTTCTTTCTTTCTTTTATTCCTGAATCATACAGGCAACTCAAACAGTGAAAAAAGCATCCTGTTACTATAAATTATCAATTCAAAAGATTAATAATAATTATCATGGGCCACTGTGAGGTACAGGAACTTTGTTTCAGTGGACCCTGTGCAAGGCTTGACCAAAAAGGGTTTGTAGGCCTGATGAGGCACAATCCATCAAAACTGTAATGTCATGCCAAGTTGGCATGCATAGCAATTGGACCAATTCCGTTTGGTACAAATAGAAAAAGCTACATCGTCCTATCATCAAGACAAATATATGTACATTATAAAGCTCATACGTCTATTAACTAAGAAGTTTCAAAAAGCACAACACCTGCCAGCAAGTTTCCACTACCCTTACTCCTATGAGGCCTAAGTTTTCAAGTGATGTGTTTGGTTGGTAATTTGTTTGGTTGGTAACAGTGACTATTCTATTTGTTACATAGGAAATTAATTCAATTGTTGTGCACTTGGAATTCACATATTATCTTATTCAATGTTTAAACCTTATTAAAAATGACTTACCTCTCATTCACACATCATCCTCTTCCGTAGCAATGTTAATAAAAAAAAAAAAAAAAAAAAAAAAAAAAACCGAGAGGATGTTTCCAAAAAGCACAAGGTTCTCTCCATCTTTATTTTGATTAAATTGTAATTTGGCTTATGATATGGTTTTGTATGAATACATTCAGTGATCATAGAAATGAAAAAACCCAATATAGATGGCAACATCATGTGCTCATTAAAATTTTATTACCCATTGCCATGTCAATGCCAACATGGCAATTCCTTGCCATCATGGATTGCTACTGTGGATAATAAAGATCAGATCTAGCAAACAGATCAAATCAAGTGAGTTTGGATTGAGTTACCTTAAATTTTATATTTATCAAGATTAGTCATTTTAAATTTCAAGTTAAAAGAGTAAATTCATGACCAATCTACATAAATCTTAGATTGAGTCAAGTGGATCCAACTTAAAAATAATAATAATAATAAAAACTTTTAATATTTTCTCTATTTAAAAAAAAGTAATATTAATTAATTATTTATTATATAAAATCATCAATTACTGAGACTTGGAAAAACCTAAAAACAAAAGGAGCTTCTATTTAGAAATCTGCGAAATCTCAGGAGTCTTGAAATAGAAATTGGGAGGAAAATGGGTCGAGCCGGAGGGATTACGAACGCCGTGAACGTCGGG